CTCATGGCCACGAGGGGTGAGTAAATAATTCTAGATAGATCTGGAATTAGGGCGTAAAAGCTTTTGTAAACAATGGCTCACTCGATGATTTCTCAAAAGGCATGACTCTTCCTGGAAAATCGACATAACCATCGAGTAGGGGAAGACTTACCCTACCCGAAGGATACGTTGGTTTGTGTAGGCGTGCCTTGAATTCCTAGAAATCAACAAGAGAAGTCATTGTTCACAAAAAGCTGTTACGCCCTAATTCCAGCTCTATCTAGTATTGTCAATTAATCCATGGTGCACCAACAAACCGAAATGAAATTAAATTTTACCTTTATCCGAAAATACCTCGGAAAATAATGTACATGCTATTTCAAAACTACCCAAATTTTGGTAGAATCCACCCAGATTGGTTAAAACTGAACCTACCCAAAAATAGGTAAACTGTGTTTTTAGTGACAAGTTGACAAATGAACAACGTTGAACGGATTCATGTCGATGTTGTTAATTTGTCAACTTCCCTAATAAACTGTATCCCTGATGGGTAAACTATCCCACAAATGGTTTGGATGATGCCCCGACACGTTGTTAAGCTCTCTTTTTTGGTTTTTTTTTTGGGGTTGTCACTTCCAACACAGTTTACCCATTTTTGGGTAGGTTCAGTTTTGACCGATCTGGGTGGATTCTACCCAAGTTTGGGTAGTTTTGAAATAGCGTGTAGCCTCTGTGTACATCGTGTACATAATGGAGATATAGCATACCCGTAAACAAAAGAACCGTAGAGGTACAATGAAATGTATTGTAACGATGCAATAAAGTTTATAGAGCTTAGTGACGTTTAATACACGCACATTAGTGGGTGCATCGCCGTATAAAGTTGTTTATTATTTTCCTTTGGCTAACCTAAAAAATGTATGAAATTAGATTGGTCAAAATGAGTTTGACAACGATTTGTTATGTATTTTCCTCGGATTTTCACTAATACGCTCTCATATATCACACCAATACAACTGGACGTGAAAATCTCTTTTGTATTTACAACGAGGGGCTGTCAACTTGAGTATTTTAGATTCATCTACCCGAGGTGTATTTAGTATTTTTTCGTATTTATGTATTTTTAAGTTTTGTATATTTTTGTATTAAAGTGTATTAAATTCATTATGAAATGTTTTTTTCTTGTAAAAAGTATTTTCGAGGTATTTTTGAGTATTTTAGTTTCAGCGTGTACGCATTTACGCATTTTTTGTGTATTTTCCGAAGTGTGTATTTACAATTCAGCTGATTTCAAGGGGTTGGTCACTCTACACAGTGTGCCAAAATCAAACTTGGGCACCCCCGGGCGTCGTCATTGACGCTGTTTGGCACCCATGGTTACAATTTTTATGATCTTTAAAGTTACTGGCAACACTGAACTTTTTCTGCGCTCAGTGTGCATGTGTCAAAAAGTGTTATTGATGTTGCCATAATATAATCAAATTATTTTCAAAACAACCGTGAATCTCCACCAAGTCTCGCCATGGATTCTCAAAATCGTTACACCCGTGACGGCAGTCGCATCCACATTTCCTCCCAGACGAAGAACAGATGACAGCGGTATCTTGACCTGACTGAGGTTTCCGGCCATGGCTAAACGAACTAGCGATGCAGCTCTCACGGCTACGGCTGCTTACAAATCTGCTGCTCCGTCTTTTTTTTTAATGAATTTTAGAGGAGACGGACCAGTAGAAGGAACAGCAGCAGCAGCAACTAAAGCAGAAGCAGCATAGGAAGCAGCCGCAGCCGTGGGAGCTGAATCGCTAATTCGTGTAGCCGTGGCTGACGCTGGAAATCTCGGGCCGGACACGACAAGCGGTGCTTGAGTTTTAATCGGAAAGTCAACCAAACAAAAACTATACCATCCGACCATTCGAACTGCTCGAATACATCCATCGCCACCGCTACTACACCACCAGCACTTCATGATGGCGTTCACCGCCAGGGCTACGCTCGGGAACTTCACCAATCCGGAGGAGGAAATTTCCGATATCAGCATTCGCACTTGCGACGGGTGGCAGTCCTTGATGGTGAATGCAATCAGCAGCAGATCCTCGGACGGCATACGGGTGGGGTATTGAAGAAGTGGAGAATGCGATTTTTGCTGGCCTGGGAAGTGATAGTTCTTGGAGGCGTTGTAGACCTTGAAGCTGATCGAATTGTGCGGAAGGGTGTACGTTCGACTGATTCGACAGCGATGGCGTTCCCATCTAGACCATGGCGGCACCCTCTTTGGTCTTCAGGAACTTTATTCTGACAACATTTCCATACAGGAAGGACAGATTGAACTGCTTATCGGTGTTAGCTGTGTTGTTATCGAGTCCGTACACACCAAGTTTTGAAATTAAGTTCCAGCAAAACGAATTACTGGATGATGTTCAGCAAAATCATGTTTTACTGGAAAATCAGTAATCTGAAATATGTTGCTGGATGTTCCAGTAAATTGTATCAAATGTCAAATTCAGACCTGTCCTCGCAGTTTGGTTGGTAAATTACTGGTTCGCGGTTTTGAATATTTTGCAGTCTAAGAAGCGTTCGGCTGGCAAATTATCATTAGGATGACGTAAATTTCGCTGGAATCGTGGAGTAAGTATTCTATACTATGTCGACGTACTTGAAAAGCTCATTTCTTTTCATCTTTACAGTCCTTTCACCTAAAAACTCACCTAGGGAGGTCCATCAAAAGTTCTTCAACAAGAGTTTATTTACTCCTTTGACTCAAAATTGTTGTCAATTTGATGTAATCGGTATATATGTAATAAAATGCGCTTTTTAACTATTAAACATATGTATAAACAATCTAAAATTGCTATCCTTCCAGCAAAATGATTTACTTTCCGTTTTGCTGGAAAAACAGTAAACATTGCTGATTTAACAGTTAAGTGCTGTCAAATAGGCACTGGATCAATTTGCTGGTTGTTCAGCAAAAACATTTTGCTGGATGGATTGCTGAACTTCCAGCTCGGCAAAATCCAGCAAAATATTGCTGGATTCCAGCGAGAAAAAATGGGTGTGTAGACCATCATCACTGCGCCCTATTGCCGTAGAGGTAACTCTAAGACTAGTAGGTCCGGAAGAAACGTGCTCAACTTTTTGGCTCAGCTCTGGTACTATCTTCGGTCCCAAGCAAATCGATGCACCCCTCGAAACATAAGAAAATCCACGAACCCCTCATTTTATCTGTCAAACTTTCATAGCAAATCAAAACAAACATTGTGTAGTACTAGAATTTCGACTAGAATGGGGTACGTTAATCGATTTGCTTTGGACCAATAGGTTAGTCAAGTAGTGAGCCAATTTAAAATCGTTAGTTTCGTATTGATTGTTGCTATTGCTGTGCGGGTTGAATGAAGTTGACTGGTCCGTTTCGGGTCAGCGGTGCGTCCTTCATCAGTCCGACGTGTGTTCCGGCCGGTGTTGGTTTCCAGTTCTCCGACGGATGATACTCGGGCGGTGACAAATTCGGTGCAAATCCTCCGCTGGCTCCCAGAAGGACTGGTTTACTAATGATTGACGTTCGTTGTGCGGGGTCGGCCTTCCACCGAAGATGGATGGTTTTGAAAACATTGAAAATCAAAACAAAAACAAAAGCTGTTAAAATACCGGGTTGCCAAACAAGGCATTATTCACAAGTAAACAAAAGTCAGTTCAATTACTTCTTCTACTTCATGGCACTGCTGATACAGCTGCGGCACACTGAGGTACACTGAGAAAAATGTTGGCGCAAAGTAAGTGTGTAGTGTGACCACCCTTTGGCTGATTTACAAAGTTGATCGCCCCTCGATTTACAATAAATCGTATTCTCCACAACGATAAAATTACAATAAAATGTTTTGTTTCTACAATAGAATCTATGGTAAATGGAGGAATATACAATAGAACAAGGGGTCGTTATGTATCTTAACAATACGAAAAATCACTTTTTCTCTGACAAACTTGAGCCATTTACCATTAATTGTATTGTTCTATTGATGCAAACTCTTACTATATGGGGCTATCAGCTATTGTAATAACAATATCTAGATAGAGCTGGAATTAGGGCGTAGCAGCTTTTGTAAACAATGACTTCTCTCGATGATTTCTCGAAGGCATGACTCTCCCTGGCAAATCAATATTACCATCGCATAGGGGAATGCTTCCCCTACCCAATGGATATCTTGGTTTGTGTAGGCGTGCCTTGAGTTGGTAGAAATCAACGAGAGAAGTCATTGTTTACAAAAGCTGTTACGCCCTAATTCCAGCTCTATCTAGATGTTAAAATTTCGCGTACTTATAAGCACAATAAGATCAATTCGAGGATCGATTGTTGGCAATAGATTTGCTTGTAATTGTATTTTATTTTATGGTAATTGTATCTAAGACCAGAAGGTCCCGAAGAAACGTGTTAAACTTTTTGGCTCAGGTCTGGTACTATCTTCGGTTCCAAGCTAATCAATGCACGCTTGGAAACATAGGAAAATCCACGAACCCCTCATTTTATCTGTCAAACTTTCATAGCGAATAAAATTAAACATAGTGTAGTACTAGAATTTCAACTAGAATGAGGTACGTTAATCGATGTACTTGGGACCAATAGGCTAGTCAAGTAGTGAGCCAATTTAAAATCGTTAGTTTTGTTTTGATTGTTGGTATAAGCTATTTTACGTGACGTCTTGATGACAGTTCCTGGCGGGCCACTCGAACGCGCTCGAGGCATTGTTATTGTTTACGTCTGATGTTTTTGTTTTGATTTTGGTCGTGGTATGTCAAAAAATCGGCCCGCTGGTAAACGTCAAAATAGGTAAACAGAAAAAAAAAACAGCTGACTCGAAACGTCTCGTAAAATGCCTTATAACCATAACACAGTAGAATAATTCTAGTACAGCGGCAATAAGTTAAAATTTGATTTTCCATTTTTTACAGTGCTCTCCCAGAACAGTACTGAACCGGTTCAAATTATTTGTTTATGTTTTGCCAGCAAGGACGGACGTCGGACGATAGCTACGTTGGATCGTAGTTTTGGTAGTTTTCGCTGAAACATTTTTTTTTTCAAAAATGTTGGTGATCAAACCACATCGTTTAGTAGCTCCATTGATATTAAAAATCAGGTAAATGTTACATCTTCATTGTCCCGTGATAGCTATTTAATTGAAACTCCTGAATTCAGATATCTATCACAAGAGCCATCGGGGCACACTAATCCACATCACAATGTCGACCAACGGGAAGTGGACACTTTGGGTAAAATGGCCGAAGAATGGTGGAATCCAACTGGTCCTTTAAAAGGCCTCCACTCCATGAATTCCCTCAGAGTTCCTCTGATTCGCGATGGACTGATCGCTACGAGCCTGGTTCCGCAAGGTCAAATCAGATCTCCTCAGGTACTGAAAGGATTGGACATTCTGGAAGTGGGTTGCGGAGGTGGCATTCTAACGGAAGCGCTAGCGAGAATCCATGCCAACGTGGTCGGAATTGATCCCGGTGAGAAGTTGATTAATGTTGCGAGAGAACACGCGGAGCGGGATCAGAAAATTTCGCCCAGGATTCAATACTTGATGGAAACCGTTGAGGAACATGCTCAAAAAAATGTCGATCGATATGATGCGGTTGTGGCATCGGAAGTGCTGGAACATGTCAACGACAAGGCAGCGTTCTTGGAGCATTGCGTAATGGCACTTAAACCGGGAGGTTCGATTTTCATTACGACGCTCAATAAGACGACCGCTTCCTGGCTAGGTGGGGTGGTCGCTGCGGAGTATGTCCTGAAACTGGTTCCGGAAAACACTCACGACTGGGAGAAATTTATTGCACCGTTGGATTTACAGCGTATGTTGAAGACGTTCAACTGTACTACCGTTTTGGTGCACGGGATGTCTTATGAATTCTGGAGGAATAGTTGGTCCTGGTGCAAGAGGATGGACATTAACTACGCTGTTCAGGCGGTGAAACTAGTCGATAACTAATTGTTTCTTGATTAATAAATGTAGATGTTTGTTATTATCTCTTAAATATAGACATATTTTACAAAACGATATCCAGTGTTTAATCATCATCCTCATCCCTAGGCTTTTCCATTCTTTTGATATTCAACGGCAATATACTTTGTTGCCGTTTGCCTCCCTTTTCGTACTTTTTCTTCACCGTCTTCATCACGCTGGTGTAGAACTTGGCCATCTCTTCGTCCGGTACGTCCATGCGCATTTTCTGTTTTTCGGCCGCTTCGGCTCGTTCCCGTTCGATCAGTTCGGCTAAATCTTTGTTCTTCTCCAGCTCAATGAGGCGTTCGATTTCCGGATTCATCCCACCGTAGCTGACTCGTCCTTCGATGAGGTCCTCGCATGGCACGTAGCTAGTTTCGATTATATACTTTGATGATTCGTGCAGCATTTTGTCGGTAAATTCGTTGCTGTACATTGCTCTGGAAGGTGGGGGAGGTTACGATAGTTATCAGGTTTAGCATTCATAGCCTAGCAGTTGATGCTACTTACCTACCTTCGGCGTCATCCTTTTCCTTCTCGAGTTTTTCTCGTGTCCGGGACATGAATTTCATTTCCAGGATGCCTTTCGACAGTTTCACCTTGTTCATTTTGCTGTTCATGTTGAAATAAGCCTGGCTAATATAAAATTTATGAATAATATATTAAATATATTTAAGATTTTTTTAATGTATTCTGGCGTGGAGAGCGAAAATAATGTGCTGAATGCAAGGATTGACTGCATAAATATTTTGAAGATTTTGACGTTTCTATTTTGACATTTACTAGAAACGGTAAACCGGTTGAGCGAGGGGTAATCATATTGATGAGGTACTAGATCAAAAATTTTCAGGTTAAACCGGTTCACCTAGCCTTTTATTATTGCATGATTAATTTAATTATACTCAAATATCGTTAAAACTTAATTTAATTAATTACTATCCCTAAAATGGGTAAATATGTTACAGCATCTGTTACTCATATATGAATAACTTTTATAACTCAAACTCATACTCATTTTAACAGATCTAATTTCATACATTATTTAGGATAGCCTAGGAAAAATAATATCCAACTTTACACGGCGATGTACCCGCTAGTATGCGTACGTTAAATGACACTAATCTCTATTCATTTTTGTACTAGGAATTACTCATAAATGCGTAAAATTTTAGTCTTTACGGGTAGTCCTATTTTCTTTAAAAAATGTGAACTTTATAGTCATAAATGAGATTTTTTTGCCGTTGCCAGAATCAAAGTGACGATTGACTCATAGATGACAAGTGGTTAAAAATGGTTGTGACGTTTTGATATCTGTCAAATTGCATATATTTATTTTTAGGGCATCATCATTTTTGTAATTGCTGATCTTAAAAATAGCTGTCGCATGACCAATTTTGGATTTGCTTTGAATCGCCAATAAAATCGATTAAATTGAAAGTTATCTTGTTTGAATAAATTTTAATCATTATTGAATCTATTTTAATCATTTTTGGTCAAATTTTAATCATTTTTGATTGATTATTAATCATTTTTATTATATCAGTGCCACCCTAATAAAAATTGTATGGTTAATTTGCTTAACGACGTGTTCTGGGTATCATCCAAACCATTTGTGGAATAGTTCAATGATTTGGATTATCGTTCGTTTATGGTTATTTTTTATTAGGGCAACATTTCAAAGTGACGTAGTTGCATTTGTAAACAATGGCTTTAGCCGTTGATTTCTCGCAAATAAAAGCTCACTCATGAAAATGAATTGCACCAACAGGTAGAGGAATGTTTCCTCTTCCAGCTAGAATTGTTAATTTGGAGGAGTGTGATTTTATTTGCGAGAAATCGACGGCTAAACCCATTGTTTACCAAAGCAATTACGCCGCTTTGAAATGTTGACACTGATATATTAATATTCTAAGAGAATAAAAAAATTTACTGAAAAGATAAATTTTTATCACGAGTGATCATTTCGAATTTAATCATGCATGATTACTGCCGAAGTAATCGTGGCTCGGACTGAATAAGGTGAAGCGGGAATTTGCATACTTTTTAAGCTTTTTTGATTTAATTTATTTTTGAGTGTATGATTGACATCGGTACGTAAATACGGTTAGTAAAATAGCAGCTGTCCATTCAAATTTTGGCTGCTTTGCCCTATCGGTTTTGTTTTTGTTGACTCACTCTCTCGACAAATCAGACAGTTTGCAGCTGCATTTTCGCGGAGGCGAAGGTCATCAGAAATTCAAAAAAGTTTCACCTTTTTTATCAGTTTTTAAAGTTGGAATTGATTAATTTGTCACCCAATTGGACAGTGGCATGCAGTTTTAGATTTTATCGGTGGAGATGTTCAGTTTTGGCAAGAAACCCGCCGCTCCGAAGCGGGAAAGGAAACGCGATCCATCCGAGGTTTGTTTTCACTTGATTGCAGCAGCAGACAAAAGATTAGTCATCAGTTAGCATTTTGTATCCGTATTTTTCTTTTCTCGGTTATAGTATGGATTGTTCGGAATAGGTGACGCTGGCATCGGGGACGATAACGATAGTGACCTGGGTGACGATGGGGATGATGGCGATTTGGAAGCTGAGCTGGCGGCAATTGCTTCCGGATCCGGTGCTGGAAAGAAGCCGCGACCGAAACCTAAGGGAGGTGTTGTGGCACCGGAAGCTCTGGACGCGATGGTGGCCGCAAGTTTGAGAGACGTTGGCAGTGATGAGGAGCTTTCCGGAGATGATGATGACCCGGATTTATTGAGCGAACTTGCGGATATCGCTGGTGGAGATGTAGCTGAAGACGAACCGACAGTAGATCGAGCATCACCTCCAAAACGAGCGGCATCTAGCGGCTCTGGGGTGAAAGATCTGATTAAATCTAGAATCGAAATGTATACCACAGCGGAGGACAATGCAAAGAAAACGGGTGATGCTTCCAAAGCAAGAAGGTTCAATCGAGGATTGAAAACGTTGAAAGACTTGTTGAAGCAAGCAGAAGCCGGGAAGGCAGTGGATCCTAGCGATATTCCACCGGAAGTAAGTGTGAAAGGTGCCACTTCTGGACCTAATCCAGAACCACCAAAAGAAGAAAAATCGGCCGACATTCCCACAGTTCCTACAAGAAAAGCTCCAGCTCCTCCCCCTGCAGGTCCTGCACCGGTCTTCGAATCAACTACCATGCCTACAACGCCTGAATCAAAACCTTCACCTCCGGCCAATCCACAGCTAAGTCTACTAAACGATAGGAAGACCCAATATAAAACTGCTGCCTTAGAAGCGAAAAAGGCAGGAAACACAGAGAAAGCTATCCAATACATGAAGATAGTAAAACAATTCGACTCGGTGATTCAGGCGGTGGAAAATGGGCAAGAAGTTGATCTGAGTAGAATGCCACCCCCGCCAGGAGAACAAGACAAATCATCACCTGTGGCTGCCACCAGTCCACCGCCAGTGCCTCCTCGCGCAAGAAAAGAGGAAGACCATACCCAAAAGGAAGCCGAAGTGCCTGCCGTTGTTGTGACCAGCAGCGAACCAACCTCCCAAGAAGATTCCGAACAACCCGAAGAGGAAGAAGTGCTGATTCAAGCGTCCAGTATTTCGGAAGCGCTTCAGCAACGGTTGGAAAAGTATCAATCCGTGGAAAAGGCAGCCAAGGACGAAGGCAATGGATCGAAAGCGCGCCGGATTGGACGCATTGTGAAGCAGTACCAGGATGCAATCAAGTTACACAAAGCCGGCAAACCGATTCCGATCGATGAACTTCCGACCCCACCCGGCTATGCACCTATTCCGGTGGATGGACCGCCAAAGGTATCTCCCAAGCCGGCCCCATCGCCACGACCGGTTCCGAAGGCTTCGCCAGTGACGACTCCCGGGGGGTCTTCTGCTGCTGCTGACGTTCCTGGTAAGTGCTGGTTTTTGGTGGTTAGTTAAGAATTATTCGAGATGGTTGTTTCTTATTCTTGTCGTTGATGATTGAACGACTTTTCCCGGAAGTTGTATCCCCGAAACACGGTTCCCCGAATGAGTTAGTGCCCCGAATGGCACAATTCCTCAAAATCTTTTTCCCCGAAAGCACTAGTTCCCCGAAATTTCGAAATGATTGATACGTGCGGCAAAATAACTAAATTGAAACAAAGCTCAATAGTAAAATAAGTAGAATATCTAGGGAGGAAACCATAATAAATCAACTTGCCAACATAGGCTATCACATTTATTTTGGTGGCACTCTTTAAATGATAATAAGCCTTTTTTTCTCGCTTCGGTTGGTTCGCACGGCTTTCGGAATTCGCGCGGTTTTCGTAACTTACATAATTTACACGGAATCCAAACAACAGCCGAAAATCTACTGGTGGTGGCGTTCTTGTGGCTGTCCGTTCCGGATTGGAGGCAAGTGCAATCGAAAATGAATCTTGGAACAGTGTGGAACAGGTTTGGACAGCCATTAAACTGGGCGATCGCACATTATTTTTGTGCGCATTGTACATGCCTCCAGATCAGTGCTGCAAAATCTCGACAGTACACGGTGATATTGACAATTCTGCTTTGGTCACTCATTTGAGCTAACAGTCATAGTCAAGGCAAACCATGTCAATATTGTCAATGACAATGGTGTCAGTGACGAACATGTGCAGATTTGTTTATTAGCTAAATTTGCAACGAAATTAAATTACTTGAGCAAAACAATAACATGGATCCATTTCAGTGAACAAGTGTCTACGTCCTGAGCTACTTGCATAACAATAATGTGACACAGAATGTTCTAAATTACACTTTTTGTTACCAGGTGAATCTTTGTCATTGACGAAAAAATGAATGAGATTTTGACGAAGGTTTTTTTGAGGATCAAGTCTGTCAGTGACTATGTGACGAACAATTTTGTCAATATCTCGCGAAAGTCTGTCAATGACAATGACAAATCTCAGCACTGCTCCAGATCGAGTTCGTGATCTTGAACTCATCGAAACTCACTGTAAATCAGTCTTCACAGTAATGGAAAGAGCGACTCCAATTGATGAGCTATTCATTTTTGGGGACTTTAACCTTGCAGGCGTTTCGTGGAGACCATCCCATAGCGGCTTCCTCTATCCAGATCCAGAACGTTCTGTATTTCATGCAGGAGCTATCGGCATTCTCGATAACAATCGCGTAGCAACGCTTTCTCAAATTAACCACGTAGTCAACGAGAACAACCTTAGTTTGGACCTCTGCTTCGTGAGCACTCAGGACAATGCTCCGTTCATTTCCACAGCACCTTGTCCACTAGTTAAGCTTGTTCCGCACCACCCTCCTCTGATTGTCACTGTTGAGGACAATCTCGTTCGTGATTTCGATAGTCTTCCTGCTGCGGTTTCTTATGACTTTCGAAAGGCCGACCATCGAAGCATTGTAGATGTGTTGTCAAACATGGACTGGGAGAACATTCTCGATCATGACGACGTTGAGGCCGCTGCGCAAACTTTTTCTCATGTCTTGGCATATGTCATTGACAGACCCGTCCCGAAAAGAATTCACCGCAAAGACTCTCACCCTCCCTGGCAGACGATTGAGCTGCGTAGGTTGAAGTCGACCAAGAGAGCAGCATTGAGAAAATTTACGAAGTATCGCACGCTTCCTCTGAAACATCACTACGTGAGGCTTAATCACGAGTATCAGCGAGCAAGTCGTCGATGTTTTCTGCGATTTCAACGAGGTATTCAGCGTAACCTTAAACTACACCTGAAATCCTTCTGGAACTACGTGAACGAGCAACGCAGAGAATCTGGCCTCCCATCGTCAATGGAATTGAACAGTGAAGTCGCTTTCACTCCGCAGGATATTTGTCGCCTTGTTTCTGTCAATTTTGCCAGTGTGTTCACTGATGAGAGACTAAGTGACGACCATGTTTCCCTCGCAGCCAGGAACATCCAACTAAATGGCAATTGATGTCAACGTTGAGATGATTTCTAACGCTGGAACGCAGCTCAAATCGTCCTTCAACCCTGGACCCGATGGAGTTCCGTCCGTGTTTTTGAAGAAACATATTGCTTGCTTGTTAACTCCACTTCACCGTCTATTCCGTATGTCCCTCTCCAGTGGTATATTTCCATCCTCCTGGAAATTTGCACACATGTTTCCTGTCCACAAAAAGGAAAGCAAACGAGCCGTGGATAACTATCGTGGAATTACATCGCTGAGTGCTGTTTCGAAACTATTCGAGCTTGTTATTATGGAACCGTTGCTCTCTCACAGCAAGCAGTATCTGAGTGCTGATCAACACGGGTTTACTGGCGGTCGCTCTACAACCACCAATCTGCTATGCCTCATATCCTACATTACCGATAGTATTACTGAACGGGTACAGACGGACGTTATATATACCGATCTATCCGCGGCATTCGATAAGTTGAATCATGACATTGCGATTGCTAAACTCGACAGGTCTGGGGTGAGCGGTAATCTCTTGAGTTGGTTCCGTTCGTATCTTACTGGTCGCCAACTTATGGTTGCTATAGGAGATTGCAAATCAGCAAGCTTCTTTGCCACATCAGGTATACCGCAGGGAAGCCATCTGGGACCGTTGATTTTTCCACTCTACTTCAACGACGTGAATCTGGTTATCGAAGGACCTCGATTATCATATGCAGACGACCTCAAAATATTATTACGAATTTACTCGATCGCTGACTGCCACAATCTTCAACATCAGCTTAATGTCTTCGCCAGTTGGTGTACTTTAAATCGAATGGTAGTGAACCCAGCAAAGTGCTCTGCCATAACGTTCTCACGAAAAAAGCAACCGATTGTATTCAGCTATGACCTGCTTGGAACGACACTCGAACGCGTGAATCAGGTGAAAGACCTGGGTGTGGTGTTGGATTCACAGCTAACATTCAGGCAACACATTTCTTATGTCATCGATAAGTCGTCTAGGACATTAGGATTCAACTTCAGGATAGCTAAGAATTTCACCAATGTCTACTGCTTAAAATCTCTTTACTGCTCCCTCGTACGATCGACGCTTGAGTATTGTTCTGCGGTTTGGAATCCAAAAATACAACAATGGTGCCGAGAGAATCGAATATGTTTAACGTCGCTTTCTTCGTTTTGCGCTTCGTAGACTGCCCTGGAGAGATCCGCTTCGGCTGCCCCGCTACGAGAGTCGCTGCCAACTGATAAACCTTGAACCTCTCCGGATTAGAAGGGACACCAGCAGAGCTTTGATTATCGCCGACACTCTACAGGGACGAATAGATTGTGAGGCTATCCTGAGGCAAATTGACCTAAACGTGCAACCCCGACCACTCCGTAACAACCTCATGCTGAGACTGCCGCCACTGCGTCGCATGAACTACGGGGCATATGGTGCGATTTGCGGACTACAGCGTGTGTTCAACAGAGTCGCATCTGTATTCGACTTTCACCTCACACGTGATGCGCTTCGTCGGAGATTCTCATCTGTTTTCGCCGGCCGTAGTGACTGACAGAGAAAACTAGTGTATTTCCATTTATGTTTTTTTTTCATTCTGACCATGTTGCTTTGTTTTTCTTTCTGTGATTATTTGACATGTAATTTTACTATTATTATTATTATGATTAGTATTATTAACATCATTCGGGCTACAGCCAGCCTGTTGATGTATGGCAGCAATAAACAATTAGATATTTTGTTCGAAACGGATTTACTTATTTAATATTCAATCGGATTACTACGCAGATAGGGGAAAAGTTGGCTTCGGCCATACCTTAACCTATTATCGTCAGGGGGATAAACAACGTCCTTGAGAGCTCAATTTTGGCATGTGGATACATTGTGTTTCAGAGCAACTATTGGCCAAATTTGAGTGCTCTAGGAATTTGTTTACCCCCCTGACGATAATAGGTTAAGGTATTGCCGAAGCCAACTTTTCCCCTATATCTACGCGTACACGTCACAGCGTTTTTTCCATAACTATCTTGAAACAATACACACGGAATCCAGTGTTCAAGCTGCCAACATAGCCTAGTCCTTCTGCTGTATTGTCAAAGATAGAAGCAAAATTTATTCAAATGGATCAAGTCTTGAAAACAAAGTTGTCAGGCAGCTCCAGCTTGATACCCAATAAAAAAAAATGAGAAGATAAAATGTGTGTTTTTTCACCCATTAGTTGGCAAAAAATATACCCATTATGCAACCGTGAGCTAATTCTTTAATGGGTATTTTTTCACCTATTTTATGATTTCCAAATTCCCCCATTTTTTGACAGCTGCATTTTACTTACTTACTTATCCTGGTCCGACATCCCTCAGAATTGCACCTGCATCACAATGTTACGCCAATTCACTCGGTCCGTGGCTGTCTCCAATTTCTTGACCGTCCCACACTTCCAAGATCCTGCTCTACTTGGTCTAACCACCTTGCTCGCTGTGCTCCTCTTCGTCTTGTGCCGGCCGGATTCGAGGCAAACACCATTTTTGCGGGATTGTTGTCCGGCATTCTTTAAACGTATCCCGCCCATCGTACCCGTCCAGATTTCGCAACTTTCTGGATACAGAATTCGCCATAGAGTTGCGCCAGCTCGTGGTTCATCCTTCACCTCCATACCCCGTTCTCACATACCCCGCCAAAAATGGTCCTAAGCACTCGGCGTTCGAAAAAACCCAGTGCTTGCAGGTCCTCCTCGAGCATCGTCCACGTCTCGTGCCCGTCGAGAACTACCGGTCTTATCAGTGTCTTGTAGCACGTAGTAAGCCCGACTTCCGGCAATAATACGCCGACGAATTTCTCTGCTGCAGTTGTTATCCGACGTCACCAATGATCCGAGGTACACAAATTCATCCACCACCTCAAACTCATCTCTGTCGATTGTCACGCTTCTGCCTATGCGAGCCCTATCCCGCTCGGTTCCTCCAGCTAACAGATACTTTGTCTTCGACATATTTACCTTTAATCCAACCTTCTCTGCTTCACGTTTCAGCCTGGTGTACTGCCCCACCACGGCCCGAAACGTTCTTCCGACAATGTCCACGTCGTCAGCGAAGCAAATGCACTGGCTGGACTTATTGAAGATCGTGCCCCGCATGTTAAAGCCCGCACGTTTCATAACACTTTCTAGCGCAATGTGTAACAGGAGCGCATTGTCGAAGTCCTTTGCGAGTTTCAAACGAGTCCGATGACGCACCCGATATCTTCACTTCTTCTTCTGGTGAGCTTCCCGGGAAAACTGTTCTCGTCCATAATCTTCCATAGCTCTTCACGGTCAATAGTATCATAGGCGGCCTTGAAATCGATGAATAGGTGGTGCGTAGCGGCTTGATAACTTCCCACAAATCTGCTTGCTAGCGGCAATAGACGGCGAAGATTATCTGGGAAAGCACTGTGTAGGCCGCGTTGAGAACAGTGATCGCTCGATAGTTTTCACATTCTAGCTCGTCGCCTTTTTTATATATTGGGCATATTACTCCCTCTTTCCACTCCTCCGGTAGCTGTTCTGTATCCTGACTTTCAGTAGGTGCAGACAAATGACCAACTTATCCGGACCTATTTTGAAAAGTTTCGCTCCGATACCATCTTTCCCAGCTGCTTTGTTGTTCTTAAGCTGTCGGATAGCATCCTTAACATCACCTATCGCTGGCATGTCCCCCTCATCCGCTGTACCGACGAAGCCATTCCTCCTGCCGCCTTGGTCCTCCGCCTCTGCACCGTTCAGATGTTCATCGTAGTGCTGCTTCCACCTTTCAATCACCTCACGTTCGTCCGTTAAGATACCCCCTTCCTTATCCCGACACATTTCTGCTCGCGGCACAAAGCCTTGGCGGGATGCGTTGAGTTTCTTGTAGAACTTGCGTGTTTCTTGAGAACGATACAGCTGCTCCATTTCTTCGCATTCCAGCTCTTCCAGGCGGTGCTTCTTATCCCGGAAAAGATCGATTGCTGTCTTCGCTTCTGTTTATATCGCTCCACATTATGACGGGTTCCTTGTTGCAGCAACGCCGCCCGTTCTTCTCGTCCAAAACCGTCTGACACTCTTCGTCGAACCAATCGTTCCGTCAATTCCGCTCCACGAACCCAACGGCGCCTTCAGCAGCGCTGTTAATGGCTGCTTTCACGTTGCTCCAGCAGTCCTCAAGAGGGGCTTCGGTGAGCTCTCCCTCATCCGGCAACGCTGCGTCGAGGCATTGCACGTACTCAGTTGCGACTTCGGGCAGCTTCAGTCGCTCTAGATTGTACCGTCGCGGGCGTCGGTACCGAATGTTGTTGACAACGGAAAGTTTTTGGCGCACCTTGACCATTAGAAGGTCAAGGTCCTTACGTCGATAATGTCCGAGAAGTGCCTTCCGTCGATCAAAACGTGGTCGGTTTGCGATTCTGTCTGCTGCGGTGATCTCCAGGTGTACCGATATGGGAGGCTATGCTGGAAGTAGGTACTACGTATGGCCATGTTCTTAGAGGTGACGAAATCGATGAGTCTAAGGCCGTTGGCGTTCGTTAGCTGGTGAGCGCTAAACTTTCCTAAAACCGGTCTGAATTCCTCCTCCTGGCCGACTTGAGCGTTAAGATCACCGATGACGATTTTGACGTCATGGCTTGGGCAGCTGTCGTATTTCTGTACCAGCTGCGCGTAAAAAGCGTCTTTATCGTCATCGTCACTTGCTAAGTGAGGGCTGTGCACGTTGATTATGCTGACATTGAGGAAACGGCCTTTGATCCTCAACTTGCACATTCTGCTATCGATTGGCCACCACCCAATCACGTGCTTCTGCATTTCGCCCATCACGATGAAAGCTGTACCCAGCTCATGTGTATTGCCGCAGCTCTGGTAAATGGTAGATGGTCCTGCAGCGCTACGATGTCGAACTTGCGGACCCTCAATAAATCGGAAAGAATGCGGGTACTTCCCAAGAAATTGAGAGACTTCTGTAAGTTTCTGTAAGACAGTAATACAGGAATCCCCCTCCCAATATGCTCGATGGGTGGTACCGTCTACCCACCGCTATTTCTCAACAGTCTTTCGACCAATTAAGCTGACTTTTTGTAAGTGTCAAGCTTGTGGTTGACCCTAATCACATACAAAAAATCAGCTTAGTTGGTTGAAAGATTGTTGAGAAATGCCGGTGTATAGACGGCACCACCCATCGCGAGAATCGGGGATTCCTGTATTATTGTCTTACAGCAGCTTACAGCAAAAGCAAGTACGGGAACAAACCTATTATTTTTGGTATCGTAGATTTTGTATGTCTTTAAATTAATTTGCTATCTTTCAATAACTCTTGATTACTTTTTCGAAGGAACGTGTCAGCTGTTCTAATCAATGCATTTGATCGTCGATTTGGCGTAACTGGTAGCTTTCCCACGTATGCTAACACTACCATCAGATAGGGGAAATTTTCCCCTACCTGATATAAAGGGTGATACGGTCAAAATTTGGTCAAGGGAAAACGCGTGTAAATCGGTGAAATCGTTTATTTAAAAAATCAAATTAAATTTCTTTTTCAAGTTCAATTAGTATAAAATTCAGGAAAAATATTCAGTTAGGCTTCCGCTTTTCCAAATCCGAATTGCCGGACCTTACGCTTGACCCCTGCCATCAGATTTTGTACAGCCACCTTGTCCACCTTCTTCGCCGCAGAAAGCCAGTTTGCCTTGAACTGCTGCTAGCCCTTAGCAGTTTTTTTGGTCTTCTTTAGGTTCCGCTTGACAATAGCCCAGTATTTCTCAATTGGGCGGAGCTCTGGCGTGTTGGGAGGGTTCTTGTCCTTGGGAACCACCTGCACGTTGTTGGCGGCGTACCACTCCATGGCCTTTTTACCGTAATGGCAAGATGCCAAATCCGGCCAAAACAGTACGGAACAACCGTGATTCTTCAGGAAAGGCAGCAGACGTTTATTCAAACACTCTTTCACGTAAATTTCTTGGTTGACAGTCCCGGAAGCTATGAAAATGCTGCTTTTCAAGCCACAGGTACAGATGGCTTGCCAAACCAGATATTTCTTTGCGAACTTTGACAGTTTCATGTGCTTGAAAACATCTGCTACCTTTCCCCTTCCTTTTGCCGTATAAAACTCCTGTCCCGGAAGCTGCTTGTAGTCGGCTTTGACGTAGGTTTCGTCGTCCATTACCACGCAGTCAAACTTCGTCAGCATCGTCGTGTACAGCCTCCGGGATCGCGCTTTGGCCGTCGTATTTTGTTTATCATCGCGATTTGGAGTCACTACCTTTCAATCCAGCCTACTAAAGCATCTCGGAAGCAGAGCATCACGGTTTTAATTCTCTCACTCAATTCCAGGTCCCAGCAAGGTAGCGAAATCGCCCCAAACACAGAACGAGAAACAGATTGTCCTTCTGCTGGAGCGCCAGAAGGAATTCCGCCAGGCGGCCGTCGAGGCGAAGAATGCCGGTGAGCTAGAGGAAGCCAAGGAATACCTTCGAGTGTTCAAGGGTTTGGAAAAGTTGATCGATACCGCCCGCGGGGGAATCCCGATCGATATGAACACCATTCCGATAGCACCTTCCAAGCGATCCTCGCTGGAGGACTCCTTCACGGTCGTTGCCCAAGAGGATTGCACTCCAGCGGACGATGCGGATGTAGATCTGAACACGCGTCTCGAGGAGCAACTGTCGAAGCAGCTGATTATGTGTAGGAACACTAGGGATCATCACCGGGCGATGGGCGATGTGGCCGGTACGAATCGATTCGAGAATCTAGCTCTTAGTGTTCAAAAGGATCTGGACTTTGTGAGATTGGCACACAGAAAGCAACTACCGGTTCCGAAGTTCCACTACGAGATGAAGCAGTTTAACGTAGTCAAGTGTAATACGGAATTAACCGACAACGAAGTTGAGGTTATGATAGTTAGGGGTATCAACTATAATGTTCCTAACCCGAAAGAGGTGGATACGTACGTGAAACTGGAGTTTCCATATCCGCAGGTGAGTGTGCTTGATGATTTTAATTTTTTATCACCTTTCAAAATGGTTTTCATCGGCAGGATGATCCTTTAAAAGCGAAAACCGGCATCGTGAAAGACAGCGACAATCCGGAGTATAACCACCGACAGAGCATCGAAATTCATAGAAGTCAACGTGCGTGCCAGCGGATATTCAAAAGACAGGCGCTCAAATGTGAAGTTTTTTCCAAAGGGTGAGGATTCTAATCTATTCTAAATTTTCATGCACATGTCCTTCTCCCGGGACATGAAAGTTTAATCGAATCAAATTGCATTTTACCGTTTGACGAAAAGTGTGAACGGACAGCACTGGAGAAGAATGAAAACTTTCAAACGCATCTAGCACCTCAACCTCTGTCGTCGCATCACAACATGTGCAAGCACTTCTCTCTGCACTATTCATTGTCTGTCCTGCCCGTCATTCTCGTCAAAAGCCTGTGTGCGTCGTGTGTTGTCGACAGATGGATACAGGATTGGAACTCTGGCTCATGAAACGCAAAAAAAAAAACATCTAACGGTATAGGGTTACCGTAATGTACCGTAATTCCGCGATTTCCATTTATTTTTAAATTTATATTTTTTCCATACACAAGTGGATAATAGCCTTCTACAAGTTCGCCTCAATTCTAATTATATACTGCCTAATAATCGCATATCAGTCCCATATGCAAAAAGTAGGCATTGAGAAAATGGCAGTCGAATTAACGAACTTTGATTTTTTTTCCTTTAGTAGGGAGATTTTTAGCCAACTAGGAAGTTACGAAAGTTACGAACTGCAATTCCCATGAGGCTGTTCATTAACCCCTTTCCCTGTGTAGACAATTGTCCATACACATTTATTTAAATTTGTTTGGGCCGTAGATTATTCCTAACTTTAGATTGGCCCCGCCTTTAGAAAACAAACACCAATCATGTTATACCTTGTACAGACATACAAAGTTCACTGTTGTACTACCGTTGTACTGCTTTAAGCTAGTACCACAAATTGTACGTTTTGAGGTACTAGATTAAAGGAGTACAACCAACAATCCATACGAAACTATCGATTTTAAATTGGCTCACTACTTGAGTAGCCTATTGGTCCCAAGCAAATCGATTAACGTACCCCATTCTAGTCAAAATTCTAGTACTACACTCTGTTTGTTTTGATTCGCTATGAAAGTTTACCAGATAAAATGAGGGGCTCGTGTGTTTTCCTATGTTTCGAGGGGTGCATCGATTAGCTTGGGGCCGAAGATAGTAAAAGAGCTGAGCCAAAAAGTTGAGCACGTTTCGTCGGGACCTGCTGGTCTTAGAGTTACCTCTATGTTACAACGGTACTAATTTGTATGTCTGCCTGTGGTATTAGGCAGTCCGAATGAGTGAATGACCGAAGTAACAAACATGTACCCATCATTTCAAATTGTTCATTGTTCAATTTTTGACCTATGCTTATCTTAAATAAATGAAAGTAAATTTGGATGAATGTTTTTGTATCACATGCAATGATAAAAGAGCAATAGTTTGTATCGCTTAACTCGATTTGTTTACATTTGTTACTTACCTTACCAATCAGGCTAAGGCCTTGTTGTCCCCTGCTGTCCGAAGAAGTCGTCTCCACTCTACTCGATCCATGGCCACAGTTCGCCAGCCTCGTAGTCTGCGAAGGGTCCGCAGGTCACCTTCTACTTGGTCGATCCACCTTGCCCGCTGCGCGCCTCTTCTTCTTGTTCCTGTTGGGTCGCTTTCTAGAACCATTTTCACTGGGTCGTCGTGCGGCATTCTTACGACGTGCCCAGCCCACCGTAGTCGCCCAATTTTTGCAATGTGGACGATGGATGGTTCTCCCAGCAGCCGGTGCAATTCGTGGTTCATTCGCCTCCTCCACGTTCCGTCATCCATCTGCACTCCACCGTAGATGGTACGCAACACCTTCCGTTCGAAAACACCAAGGGCGCGTTGGTCCTCCACGAGCATAGTCCAGGTCTCGTGGCCGTAAAGGACCACCGGTCTAATCAGCGTCTTGTAGACAGTCAACTTCGTGCGGTGGCGAATTTTATTCGACCGGAGCGTCCTCCGGAGTCCAAAGTAGGCACGATTCCCTGCCATAATGCGTCTTTGAATTTCTCTGCTGGTATCATTTTCGGCGGTCACCAGTGAGCCCAAATACACGACCACCTCGATTTCGTCACCGTCAATCTGAACTCGGGGTGGGAGGCTAACATTGTCTTCCCTAGAACCTCTTGCTTTCATATATTTTGTCTTTGATGCGTTGATGGCAAGTCCAATCCGTCTAGCTTCAGCCTTCAGTCTGATGTACGTTTCCGCCATCATCTCAAAGTTCCGTGCCATAATGTCAATGTCATCGGCGAAACCAAGGAGCTGGATGGACTTCCTGAATATCGTGCCACTCGTGTCTATCCCAGCTCTTCTGATCACACCTTCTAACGCGATGTTGAACAGCAGACACGAAAGTCCATCACCCTGCCGTAACCCCCTTCGAGATTCAAAGGGACTCGAGAGTGTCCCCGATACTCGAACAACGCACATGACTCGATCCATCGTCGCCTTGACCAATCGCGTCAGTTTATCCGGAAATCCGTACTCGTGCATAATCTGCCATAGCTGATCTTGATCGATTGTGTCGTATGCGGATTTGAAATCGATGAACAAATGATGTGTGGGCACGTTGTATTCGCGGCATTTCTGCAGAACCTGCCGAATCGCGAAAATTTGGTCCGTGGTAGCGCGGGCACCCATGAATCCCGCCTGGTATTGCCCCACGAACTCTCTTGCATATGGTGACAGACGGCGGCATAGAATTTGGGAGAGTACCTTGTAGGCGGCGCTCAGCAGTGTGATCGCGCGGTAGTTGCAGCAATCCAACTTGTCGCCCTTTTTGTAGATTGGGCATACGACACCTTCCATCCACTCCTCCGGTAATATCTCCTCCTCCCAAATCTTGGCAATTACCCAGTGCAGCGCTCTAGCCAGTGCTTCACCACCGTATTTCAATAGCTTACTTGGTAGTTGATCTACACCAGTTGCTTTGTTGTTCTTCAGCCGACCGATCTCCTCCTCAACGTCTTGAAGATCAGGGGCCGGTAGCCTGTCGTCTTCTGCGCGTGCTCCAAGGTCTGTTGCCGTGCCACCTTCGTTTTCTGCTGCTTCACCGTTGAGGTGCTCGTCATAGTACTGCTTCCACCTCTCAATCACCTCACACTCGTTCGTGAGAAGGTTACCGTCCAAGTCCTTGCACATATCGGCTTGCGGCACGTAGCCTTTGCGCGAACTATTTAGCTTCTCGTAGAACTTCCGTGTGTCGTTTACGCGGTACAGATTTTCCATCGCCTCGCGATCTCGATCTTCCTGCTGACGCTTCTTCCTTCGGAAAACCGAGTTTTGTCTGTTCCGCGCTTGTCTGTATCGCTCCACATTCAATCTCGTGCGGTGTTGCAGCATTCTCGCCCGTGCTGCATTCTTCTCCTCTACTAACAGTTTGCATTCGCCGTCAAACCAGTCATTTCTTCGGTCCGGGATTGCAGTACCTAGTGCCGCTACAGCAGTACTACCTATGGCTGAACGGATGTCCCTCCAGCCATCTTCAAGAGAAGCTGTGCCAAGCTGCTCTTCCGTGGGTAGTGCAACTTCCAGCTGCTGCGCGTAGTCCTGGGCAACTCCGGTGTCCCGTAGTTGCTCAATGTTGGGTCGTGGCGTTCGACTTCGACGTGTGTTATGCACCGTCGAGAGTTTTGAGCGCATGCATACTGCAACTAGGTAGTGGTCCGAATCTATGTTCGCACTGCGGTACGTGCGGACGTTGATAATGTCGGAGAAGAATTTCCCGTCGATTAGAACGTGATCGATTTGGTTTTCTGTGTGTTGGTCAGGTGATCTCCAGGTGGCTTTGTGGATATCCTTGCGGGGGAAAAAGGTACTTCGAACTACATTTGTTACATTGGTCTATTTGAAAAATGACGCGAGAATTGAGTGTGCGTTTGACTAGCACTGTTGCATGGATGGCCATTCGCTTAATTTCAACTTCTATTCAATTTTCACACTGCCGTATTCTAGCGGAAGTATCATCCTATCCTCTAATTAATTAATTATCACACTGAAGCCTCATGTTGATATTAGTACTGTACTTTTGAAACTACTGTACTGTACAACTTTTGAAACATGGGACTGATATGCGTAGAACGACAGTAGGTACAGGCTTTTCAACCAACTCTGATTTGATGTTGTTTTCACATTTTTCACGATCAAACTCCGTAGTTTTATCACATAATATGAAAGTAGAAGCCAATTGAGAGTGCGGTGTTATTTAAAAATCGACGAATATCCGTATGAGACTGATATGCGATTATAAACAGTATACAACTTATAATTATTTTGGAAATTTTAAAACTGCGCAGAACTAGGCCTTAGTTGCGCAGAATTATGACACTTTACGGTACCTAAGTTTTCAAAACCTTTAAAACCGAACGTATAATTTGACGAATTAAAAATATCCCTGCATGCCAACCCTATCCGTAGAGCTGTATTCGCGACTACGAAACATGGCGGACATGGCATTTGCTCTCAAAGATTGACACTGGGTTACGGGATTTTTCAGTGGTGTGACCGAATAAGAAAAAATCCGCCATGTTTCACGCATCCATTAAAGTTTGCTTATGGGATTTCGCCCATAGGAGTAAAGAGTTACAGAAGCTTCGTAGACGCGAATAGGAAAATCCTTTTTTGTCCGATTTCCCTATCTAAATACTGTTGTAGGTCAATAGAAGTTTTTCCTTTCTCTTCCGTTCCATTTTCGGTTGCTTATGACGAATCGCATCCTGTGTTAAAACAAAAACCTGCTTCGTCATGATGATGAATCGCGCTGTCCGATGATCCGACGACGACGGCGTTGGCGCCGCTTTCAGATGTTCATGTTGGGGTGTTGGATGCTTCCCGTGCTGCTGCTGTTGTCCATCATCCAGGTCTAGCATTTTTTCATCCTCCTGTTTCAGAGGTTTCCTTCGCTCGGACACCCTCATTGGAACGGTCACGGTGAAGCTGCAGCCACTGGAAACGCAATGCGAGATTCATGATTCGTTCCCGGTAGGTATTTGAATTTTGAAACGCTCTTCTTTATTGTGCCTTTACTGTTCTTACGGGTTCAGAGGGAAAGATTCAATATTAAAGCTTACGTACATTCTTTCATACGAATATTTAGGATGGTTCTACAAAACATGTACGTGTAAGCTTTACTGCCCATAAAAGCATAACTGTCCCATATGAATAGGAAATCAAGCAAAGATGGGACAATTATGCTTTTATGGGCAGTAAAGCTTACGTACATTTTTTGTAGAACCATCCTAAATATTCGTATGAAACCTGTTTTTACCAATTTTCAATATTCTTCTCATATTCCTTTGGACAGTGATTAATCAATACCACGTTTCGGAGAAAGCGTTCAGCACATTTCCTCTCAAAACCATGCTCAAACAGCTAGTAAACAGATTCAATTTCTCACACTTCTCACACAAGTACATATTTTTTTTTTTGTTTCTACATTCTCATTTTTCCTTCTCCGTTTGGTCCTGCGTGTGTCCTGCGGTCGGCATCTCATTCTCTACAGCTGATGGACGGTCGTAAAACAGCCGGTGGCAAACTGGAACTGAAGATACGTGTCCGGAATCCGATCCTGACAAAGCAGATCGAGCAGATAAACGAAAAGTGGCTGATTATCGATGCATGAGTTGTTACCTAGCACTAGGATGCATTTGATACGCGCGATGCTAAGGCCATGCCGGCGGGTGACGTGGAGAGATTGACTGGTGATGCTAGTAAAAAATGTAATGGAATCTAAACAACTATCACACATGGCAGCAGAACATCGAGCGGTTGCAGTTGCAGATTTCTCGTTCTGTACTGCGTGCTACGCGAAACAATCGAAATGAGGAAATAGCGCTTTAAGCTTCTGTTGAATGTTGAAATAGGTGGAATGTTTGTAAAATTGTGTGTTGACTGAGGTAATCAGTTTGTGATGAACGATAGGATAGCTTTACGATGTGATGCGTATCTTAGACGAAAATAAAAAGTGCTTACGTTATACATTATAAACATGTTGTTTTTTTTTCAATAGTTGATCACATCATCTAGTTGACTTATCTCGACCTCCTGCAATGAGTTTATCGAAAGGTTCACTTCGTCACACTTATTTATTATCTTTCCTATGTAGGTAGAGCTTGTGCAATTTGCAATTTTAAGAAAATCATCACTAATGCTACCTAATGGTAGGATGAACGCACCAATTGTGGAGGTACGTAAGTGTAATGTGTTCCGTGCGTTTACCCTACAAAAAAATAAATCTAAGATCGTGGCTCCCGGTGGCAACATTGTCTTTGTCCAATTTCCGATGACAGTTTGTGTGTATTCCCTCTAACCCCCACTGGCGGACGGCAGTATTATTATGGAAGAACTATCTCTATAATGTCGCATTTATGGTCATTGAAGACAGCTTTAGTCCGGGAGTTAGAAAGTGAAAGCTCTATTGCAGATCCAGCAACCCATTTCAGAATGTCTGGAGAGTCACGCCAATTCCGAGGTATCTATCATTTGCAATAAGCCCCGCATGTATGTATTACCTTTATCAATTGGATATTAGTATTACATACACACTTCCAGGTTCGAAAATATTCTTTTCAAACCTAGCGCGTATTTAGTTTAATTTTGATGTTTAATTTATAAATAATCACCCCTATTCTGTATTTCGTTTCGAACGAAATTCTCATACAAAAAAATTTTTTTTTGTATGAGAATTTCGTTCGAAACGAAATACAGAATAGGGGTGAATAATAGGCTCGATCTCAACATGTTCTGCTTGTCTGCCGAAATTAATTCTAGACTGACATTTGAAAAGGGCGTAACTCCAAAATGACCATATCGAGAAAATCGCTTCCGAATTTTGATGACCTAAAAATTAATCCTATTTCACGACTTTCCATTTTCTGGATGATTTGATAAGCTTGACATATTAGTTCATCATCAGTTTTTTTGTCGTAAAATTTAAAATAAAACATCATACGCCCTGATAATTTCTTAAATGTTGTTTACACCCCCGAATCTTCCATCCTTTGAACTTCCAACACTGGTGATACGCCGTGGAAATACACCATCGGAATTTTTTTTAAAGTTTTTGATGACTTGAAGTGATATTTTCTTCTACTTTCTCGTGTTTATCGAGTAGTTTGTGAACTGTTCTCTCCAGAGAATCCAAACACATAAAGCAACCAACGATACAGACAAAACCCTTGCTACGACTACCACGACAAACTCTCACTGCAACACAGCTAAATTGGAGTGGTAGAAGGATAATGATATATTGCTTGCCTGCTTTGTTGCAATGTACACGGATGAGGACATAGCACGATCTGAATCGAAAAAAGTATAGCAAAAAAAATTCCCATTAAAGTGGACCCTACACGATTGCTTTTATTGACAATAATCGTATTGTCAATACATTCTATATTGACGTCAATATATCGAGATTGACAATATTTCTGAATTCACATCATCAATATTATTGTCAATAATTCCCCTTCGCGTCAATATATTGATGCGTGTGGGGTTTGCTTAACACACGTGTATCATCTTCGGCTTTACTTCGTGAAGCAGCTTGCCAACAATTTGCTCGTTTTCCTCTACCGCCCTGAGTGAGCTGTGTCGCACGGGCTGCTTGTCATGAAAAAGAATCAAGATTATATTATCTGTTTCTTTGGTAACAAAACACGCCGAAAACGACGCAGAAATCATCACCATACAAATTCCTATAGCGACGATTTCTGCGTCGTTTTCGGCGTGTTTTGTTACCAAAGAAACAGATAATATCATTATTGCTTTCCACTTCTGACATAGCGATATCATTCGGTTCATTGATCGCTCATTTGGAGATATTTTTGATTCCTTGGTTCTCTCTATATGTGGCAAAATATGGTTTGTTTACATTTTGGAGTTACGCCCTTTTCAAATGTTAGTCTAGAATTGCTTCTTTTGGAATCCCTTGTACTTTTTCCTAACACTTCGTATTTCATTCCGCACTTCACCGACAATTTCTTTCCGTAGATCGTCCTTCGTCGGTTCTCACATGATTCCGCCTTTTCCGTGTTTTTCTTGTTTTCCGAGGGAGATAAATCCACAGTAATTTCCGTACCTAGTTCGATGTTTACTCTTCCTCGCTGGTTGGTGTGGTCGATCTCATCGGCTACTGAATTGCCATGGTCATCTGGTATAAGGCTCTCGTCTTAAATCGCTGGTCCACCGAGCACTCGCAATGAGTAATTGAATCAATGTAGAGATTAGTATGAGATGGTGTTATATGCAAACTGCGAAAAGAGAATGAATGGAATACGAAAGGGATTAGTATGATAGTTTCATCAAATTTCCCAACTAACCATACTGAAGCAAATTAAGTAAATACAAGCTGCGACTAAATGGTTACTTGGGTACTCATATGGCCGTTAGAACCATCGGTTGCGAATTGAAGTATTCCTGAAAGTGATGCGTTATATTTCTCAATGTTTTGATTTTATCCTAACGTTACCTTAATGTTATATCACAGAAAAAAACAGACACAACACATTGAACATTTCTCATTGTAAACCCTACCGCCATCTGTCGTATACGCTGTGATGGGCAATACACTCAATAGATGGCTGTAGTGTGTAAACGTCAAACACAAGGAAATTGGTTATATGCGCCACAAGATGAACATCTTAAGCATCTTATGTCTGGTTGTCTGTGATCATACCTTCACTATCGCAACTCCGGGTAATCCGCGAAAGTGCCTGCATTTTTCTCAGGCACTTTTGATCTAACTGCAATCACTCTCTCATACTTGAAATGTGCCACAACCAAATTGGCACAACGACGCTCTATACGCTCTCTGACCAAAGCGCAAGGACATATTTTACCTAATCCCTGATGCCAATACTGGTAACCTTCGATTTTGACTAGATCTGGTTCTTTACGAGCGGTTTCAAGCAACCTACGTGAATCTGTGGGAAGCGTTCGACATAGCCGATTTAGCAATGGTTTTAAAGTAGACTCCAATTTTGAATGAAAGAGGTTAAACTCAGAGTGTTGTTGATATCATCCTCCTAAGAATCTGATGCTTCTTCTGGACTATAATCCAATGTTGATTCAAGGACCTCTTCAACATCCGAATCGTAGTTAGAGTAGTTGTCATTCACTTCTGCTTCAACATTATCGTTTCGATTACCGTGCAAGCACCATATTTGACGCGTTCCTAATGATGACGCAGTAGTCATTCGGTACACCATCATCCCTACAGCACTGGAACTATTATTTGCAGAACTAACATTTCAAAAATAAAGATTGAAAATAGTCGAACATTATTGAGTGCGTCGATTTAGGGACCGCTTCGAATATAGTGCCTCAACGGGAAATTTGGACGGTTGCATACACCTGTTCACTTTTTTCATTCTTCAGACTCAATTCCGTAACGAAACTGTTGCTACCCGATGAGTTCATATTATTATTCAACTCTGAACGCTTGTACCAACCGGTGGAAACTAACTATTTTAAATTGGCTCACTGCTTGACTAGCCTATTGGTCCCAAGCAAATCCATTAACGTACCCCATTCTAGTCAAAATTCTAGTACTACACAATGTTTGTTTTGATTCGCTATAAAAGTTTAACAGATAAAATGAGGGGCTCGTATGTTTTCCTATGTTTCGAAGGGTGCATCGATTAGCTTGGGGCCGAAGATAGTACCAGAGCTGAGCCAAAAAGTTGAGCACGTTTCTTCGGGACCTAGTAGTCTTAAGCTGGGTTTAGACTAGGCAAGTCAAATGATCAACTCAGTTAAATTCAATTGGCTTGAAAAGTTGAGCCTGGTTCAACTTTTTTCAATTCAAGTGAGTTGATCAAGTTAGTTGAATGGCATACCCAACAAACAATTTGAGTTGATCAACAGCTGAATAAGCTATTTTTAAGCTGAAGAAGCTTGTTTGTGCATGAATAAGCTCTTATTCAATATGCAATGTTTGTTGGGTGGTTTACACGTTCAATTTGCGTTCAAGTCAGTTGAATTCAACTGACTTGATCAATTGACTTGCCCTGTCTAAAACCTAGCTTTAGAGTTACCTCTATGCTTGTACTTTGTATTGTAGTTTGTAACTTCCACTTTTAAGGAACTTTTGCCAAATCTTACTGCCATCCATTCTATGCACCAAATTTAAATTTTCAATATCAGTAAAACGGATTGCTGGATCATGACCAGCAATCCAATGATTTACTGGAAAACAGCAAACGATATTTTTACTAAAAACATCAGCTAACATAAACTAACACCCAGTAAAAGAGCTGTCAAACTGTTAGCATCACAGTCGCAAGTATTTTTGCATTCGTACACCACCATTCAAACCGCAGGAGGAGGGAGAGCTAAATAAACTACAAATAAATAAAATTATGGCTCTATATTTAATAAACGATATGGCGATTTTTTCTTTATTATTAGTATATTTACAGAGTTTAATTGTTTAATCAGCAAAATGCTGCTTAATGTCAAAATGTTTAATTGCTGAAAGATCAGAAAAGAAATATTGCTGATTTTCAGTAAAAGTTTGTCATTTTGATAGAAGTTGGAATTGCTGAAAAAATCAGCAGCATTATTTTGCTGGAACGTTTGCTGATCTTTCATCAAGTCTAAAATCAGCAAAATTTTGCTGATGTTCAGCGATTTAAATTTGGTGTGTATGTTTGTTTTGATTGGAAATGTTTGTGTTTGTTAAATTTAAAGCATGATAGCTATGGTGACAACCCTCTTCAGCTTATTTAGTATATGGCTTATAATCTTTATAACATAGCGCTATATACCCATATAAGGCCTATTTTCTTGCTTGAGGTTCGTAGTGCCTACAAGCATCAGAAAAACTGATATACACACACTTAGAAAAAATCACGTAAATTTAGGTGCTCTGAGAGTGACATATACGAGCGTCAATTTTGACATAAATTTGAGTCATAACAGACGCGAAGTATAGCTCAA